GACCATCACGTGAATTTCTACTGCTTGACCGAGACTCCCACTCTGCAAAATGCAACATGGAGCAGCTCCAAGACCTCCAGCTCGTCACACCACAGCCATTAAACTACAGAGGTCACTGAACTGCTGACCTGAGCTGGAATCAGAGAGACAACTGGCTCTCACCAATCCCCTGAGCCATCCGAGCAGGCTGGAAATCAACGCTGAAAGCGAATGACAAAGCCCAAGCTTTTATTTGTGGGCAACGGCTTAATCCCCCTAACTGCTTCCTCTGCCATGGGAGGCTCATCTGCATCATCTTTTCAGTGAGGCAGAAAACGTGTGGCTTATGCAGATTAAACTAAAACAACAACCAGACACTGTCATGCGGGGGAGTGAGGAGCTCTGAGACACAGTCTCAGAGCCCCTGCCTGAACCATTTGTTAAGGACCACGGAAATAAAGCTTTGCATCAAGATGATGGAGATAAAGCTTTTTCCCCTACCCCAGTCCCTCTTCCTCACTGCCTTCTACTGCACATGTAGCTTCCTCCATGGGGTGTCCTCCCTAAGCCTTTTAAAATTCAAGACATCATCCAGGCAGCATGTCATCCTGCTGCAGCTGCTCCTTGATTGGCTGATGCAATTATTTTCAGGTGCAGCAGCAGCTTTATCAGCAAGAGTCTTCAGTGGTGAGTTCACTTTGCAGAATGAAAATCAAGCAGGGATGCATCCAAACAGGGGCCTGGGGCAGAAAGCCTAGTCAGAGGGGCACAACGTTTCTGCTTCAGGCCTCAGCTGGGGTTGAAGGCCTAAATGCCAAGAGGAAAGTTTGGACTGGACAGCTCTGAAATCTCTGGAAATTGTGGTGCTACATGGTGGAAATCTCATGGAGTCTGCTGGTTCCTCAAGGGTCTGAAACCAAAACTGGTTTCCCTTCCCACTTCAGACCCAATCTGGGACAAGGGCTGTGTAGAGACTTTGGACCTGGAATTCAAATTCTGGCTCCATTTGCTTCCTGTATTGAAAGGGATTGAGAGCTGAGGGCCTGGTTTGGGACCAGGCTTGTATGCTGAGCCAGGAGCTGGGCCACTGCAGTAGAGTGAGCTGCTAGGGAACACAAAAGCATGTCTAGAGAGTGGCCTGTGCTCTTAAGAAGAAATACTGAAGAAATACTACAGAGACTGCAAGGGCTGCCTACCAATGCTGGGCACAGCTAGCTCCAGATGAGCCCAAAGCCTGTAGCTTGCTCTATCTTACAGGGGGCCATCCCTGCCCTGAGAGGTACCAGGTGGTGCAAGGCTGTGTGTTTTGTGCTGCCTCGTTGGGACAGGTTTTCATGGAGGTGCTCAGTGGCTCTGAAATCCAGGTCTAGCTTCCCTTTCAATGGCTGAGGGCCTTGGTGCTGGCTAGCCCTGTCTTGGCAGCCAGTGCAGGCTTGATGGGGACCAGCTACACCTCAGTTGTCTGACACCCAGGTTCTAATCTAGACCTTCTCCGCTTCTATTTCCTCGGGTCTAAAGTGTACACCTCTTCACACTACAAGGAGCACAACCACATCTGCTAGAAGAATTCATAAACACAGTTTCCTTGGCATTATCAACTAGGTTTAACTGGGTTTTAAGAACCACATCCCAGGCTAGATAGGAACTAGCCATGGAATTGGATTTAATCTGGTCAGGCCTGTTCCACACTAGCCATGAAAACCAGGGGAGCATCTTTCTGGCCAAAGAATTCATAACTTACGCTGCTGCTTTCTTTTTAGCACTTCCCCCTCCTTCCCTTCAGTGGTCGCATCCTAGTGAGCACACACAATGGCATACACATTGAAGCATGCAGGTCCTCCATGTAGCCTGTGTTAGGATCTGTACCTTAGAAGCCCCTGGTGTGTTAGGTGATTTAGACTAGAGTGCGTGGGCAAGCACAGCAGTCACTTGCAAAGCACAAAGTCCTTGCTTGAGCAGTGCTCTGCACACACACACTGGGGCCACTGGGCAGAGGGAAGCACTGCATTTGAGGAAACTGACCACTAAATTGGCATTTAGGTTCCCCTCCTGGCACTACCACTGGTCTCCTGGGTGATCTTGGACAAGTCACCACCCTACTCTGTGTCTCAGTTTCCCCAAGTGTAAAATAGGAGTGAGGACACTGGCCTGCTTTACGATCTGAAAAAAAGCCTTAGGCATTCTTCTGAACCTTGGACAAAGACAATGTCATCCAATACAGGAGTGTTACTTAGGCCCACCTTTAGGACTTGTGAGCTATACTGCTCTCTAGGCCCTAGGCAACAGGCTGAGGAAAAAAGATGGGAGAGGCTTAATGACATGGCACTTGACCTCAGAAGAAGAGATCCTGGAGAGGTTCCTGCTGGGGGAGAGTGGTTACATGTCAGCCATAAAAGCTCTGACTTTAGTAACGGTGGGCCTGTACAAGCAGCATATGAAGGCAGAGCTCAAAGCAATCAGCATTCCTATAGTCACCTCAGGATTTTGGCCTCCTTCTCTTAAAGCTGGAGGGTGTTTGTTGTTACCAGCATTAAGAGAGAATCTACAGGCACTGGCCTCCCATATGGACAACGAGTGACCAAACTCTTTGCCATTCACCAGGGGTATCAAACTCACCTTCTGCCCTGGGCCAGGTCTGTACAACGGGCATTGCTTGTGGGTCAGGTTCAGCCTGGGAAACAGGGTGGCTCCTGCTCCTGCTGCAAGACCCATGCCAGAGTTGGAGTAGTTGCTCCTGACATGTTTTATGCTGGGATGGCAGCTCCAGGTCCAGCATGGAGCACACAATGGTGGCAAGTCCAGCCTATCATCCAGTGTGGCAGCAGTGGTGGTAGCAAAGCCAGTAGATGAGGATCTGTAGTCACAGTGGCAGTGATGGCTGAAGCGACCAGAAGGTGACCAGGACTGTCAGCCCTTACTCGCCTTCATGCCATCCATCTTCCAGTGGCCAACTTCCAGGCCAACTTCCAGTGGCCTGTCAGTAGCCTGGCAGGCCATGTTTGACACCCCTGCTGTACACAGCTTGCAATCCAAAGAGGGAAGACAAAGGGAAGCTGAGGCACAGAGATGGTCAGTGACCTACCACTGTCAGCAGGGCAGGGATAGAGGCAGGACAGGACTCACAACTAAACCCTGTCCAACTGGCTCCATCAGCCCAAAACAATAGTCTACACACTTTCTCCTCTGGCTCCCAACAATTCAAATGCCCCTCTAAAGCACATCAGTCGATGACATGGGTTTGATAACTCCCTTGTAGGCTAATAGCTTTTCATCTGCCTTGTCCCCAGCGGGGTTCCATAATGGTTCCACAATCTTTCACCATGATGCTAAGGGCCAGAGACGACCCTCATCTCACACTGGTGAGCATAAGGGGACGGCTCTGCATTGACTTTGTAGGTGCCTCCATTTAGATGTGGCAGTGCCTAAAATTGCAGTTCCAGGTCCCAGGAGGGTGATCCAGATCCACAGGCAGAGGCAGCTCAGCTTCCATGCAGCCAATGCAGAGATCTAAGGGATTCTCATGAGATTCAGACCACCTAGCTGCTCAGGAGGGAGGTGCCTACCTGACCCAGAACTCCTGACAACACCACCTGCTTCAGCATGAAGCACAGAGCCCCCCGAACAATGGCAGAGGTGCCCAGCTGCCTAGCAGTAAGAGAATTGCCTAGGAAGTTGGAGATCTGGATTCTTAGCCCTGCCTCACCCAGCGTGGCCGCTTTCCAAGAGGGTGTCTCACCACCAGGCTCTGGGCTGGGTGGGGTTCTCACATTCCTTCTATTGAAGCTGGGCTACTGGGCAACCATAAGTGCAAAGAGTCATGGGTCATGAGTCACAGAAAAAGAGCAATCAGGAGGGAGTGACTATTGCTCTCCTTCTCCAAGGTCAATCTAGTCCTTACACACCTACTTCAATCACTGGAACCACCTAGGTGAGTGAATAACTGTTCTCTTACTGTTTGGGATTTTTTTGATAAAATGCTCTTTGGTTGGATAAATGTCAGTTTATTGAACCTGAAACGTTCTGTGCAAACATGTTGGATTCAATGAATTTTTGAGGGGAAAGTTTCTCAGCCTGAGGATGAAACATGGTCAAAGCCAACAGATATCAGACCAGGTTTACTGCCAGGCTTGAGATGTGGATTCAAGTCCTCAGCTCTGCTAGATTCAGACCACAGGCTCGACCCCAGGTCTCCCAGATGTGTCCTCTCCTTACTTTACTACTGACTAGACTGGGATGTCGCTGTTGGTTTAATTTATTTGGGAATTTTAAAAAAAGCTTTGCTTTCTAACCTCAAATTTTCTTGCAAACTGGAATTCTGGTTTTCCAACCAGTCCTGTTCACACCTTGGGATAACAGCTCACCTCCATGCAACATCTCCCTCTTAGAGTGTAGATGTTCTCTAAGACCAAGCTCCACCTGGGCAGTGAAAAGTGCACTGCAGCACCGGTTTTGTTCTTTCCAAGGCATAAAAACCCTCCAGATGGAGAAGGCAATCCCATGGAAGCAGCACCAGGAATGAGAGAGGAATGATTAACCTCTGTTAATCTCCCAAACCTCCTGCCTCAGAGATAACTGGCTATGTTGGAGAACCCACCCTTGCATGAGTCCCTCATCAGTAGTGTCTCATCACTGTCATCCAAAGTGTGATGTTTGTGCCCTAAGACCATGACTCCTGGAAGGTCTACCGGGCCACTCCTGGAGTGAGGACACTCTTTTGCTGGAGAGGGGATGTCCACAGGCAAAGTGCTGCTTTTTTTGGGTGCAATGTACAAAGGAGCTGTCACAACTCAATGTGCCGTGAATGGGTCATCCTCCTGGTGACAGTTTACAATGACAGGTTCTTTACCCTATTGACCAGATCTTGTGCTGGACGTCTGGGATTCCTTGGGTCAAGCCATGAACCTATGAGATAGCAGCATTTACTTGCACAGCTGGGGCCTTCCAAACACATCTGGAAAGACTTGACATCACTAATTGCGTGGAGGACACTGAAAGTCATCCATACATCTTTCCTCCCACAGGAGTTATCACAGGCTGGCTGATAGCACGGACACCCCTTGCTGGATGCTTTCATGGTGGAGGACATCTTTGTTCATCTGAGGCTCTGAGTGCACTGGGAGCTGTACGGTGCTGGGAGATGGGGGACACCTCTGCTTTGTGTCTCCTCCCCTAGAGTCGGCCATCTCCATGTGAATGAAGACAGTCCAGATCAGCCAGTGATTGTACATGGAAGCAGCAAATCCTCTTCTGTGCCAGCATCCAGTGAGATCTGGTTCTCTTATCCAGATTTCATCAATCCCTCTGAGTGTCCCCTGACACCTCACGCTGATCCCCCCCAACCCCACTTCTTCCCACCCCTGCCCCTCCCCCTCCCCTTAATGAATCCCCCCCATTATATAATTGTGCTCAAAAAAATAAAGGAAATAAAGCACGAATGTCTCTGACAGGCTTGAGCAAAATAAATAGATGCAGCCCAAACCAAACCTTCCACGCTTCTGCAAGCTCCTTTGTTCAGGAAGGCTCCCTCCCTCTCAGGGATCCAGTCCATGGTCTCTGTTAAGCGCTTTGTTCCCTTGCTCTGCCTGCCCTGATTCTGCCCCTCCCCTCCCCCACCCTGGTGTTTGCTTGTAGAAATGAGAAGACACCCCCCACCCCCACCCCCTTCCAAAATCCAAGTTTTGGAGTCTGCTTCACCCCACCCCAGTAGCTGGTGGGGGTCTTGTCTGCCCAGTTGCCAGGGTCCCCCCTGGGAAGCACATCCTCTTGGCCTGCTGCACCTTCTCATAGATGCCTTCCTGGAGGGCAATGATAGGGGACTGCCACTGTCAGGCAGGAGTCTGGTCCCCCTCCCTCCACACTTGAGGTCCATCTTTTAGCAGCTGCCTTGGTTGCTCCTTGCCCTCCTTCCCAGAAGCCACAGCTCCTGGCTCCCCTAGGTCTCACCATGCCACAGCTGGCTCCCTCTGGGCCAGGATGCAGGGTGGGTGCAGAGGCTGGTGTTGGCTGCAGCCTGGGTGGCCCAGGCCAAAGAGTGGGGTGGGCGGGATGGGAGGAGATGGGACGGAGGGAGGGGGCGTGCAGCTGTGTGTGGGTGGTGGTGATGGTTCCAGTGGGCCGCTCCTGCCCTGGCTGGCTCAGAACCCAGCGCTCTCTGAGCTGCTGTGGCTGGTGTAGCTAGGGCTCCGGCTCTGGCTCCGGGAGCGGCTTGGAGGACTGCGAGTCCGGCTGCGGCTGGGGCTGTAGCTGTCATAGCTCCTACTCCGGCTCCGGCTGTATGAGTAGCTGCTCAGGGAGCTGGAAGAGGAAGGGCTGGGTCTGTAGTAGGGGATTGGACGCTTGCGAGCACTGCAGAGGAAATGAAAAGAGAGTCAGTGTGGGGCAGTGGGTGCTGGGCAGGCTGATTTGGTGCTGGGCTCTGGCTTGAGCACATGGGGAAAAGCTGGGCAGAAGGGAAAGGAGCTCAGGTCAGAACTGCTGAGCCCTGGGCTCACACTGCCACAAGAATGATGGGCAAGTTCTGATTCAGGTCTGGGTCCAAATGTCTCTGGACCATGGTCACGGGGCTGGAACTCTCCTCCCCCCAGGGAGAATTTGGATTTGGACCAGAATGCTGTGGCCTTGATTGCAGAGGCCCTGAATGCAACCTGTGGAGCCCATTCATGGACAGATTCAGGCATTATCCCCATGGCTTGTGCTCAGCTCCAGCCAACCAGCAACCCATGCAGTGCCCAAGCCATCACCCCCAGGGGTTAGTCCTGGATTAGGCAGCAACAACAACAGAGCGTAAGAAGGTTAATGTGGCTTTTGTCTTGTCCAGACACCAAAGAGTTAAAGCTGTGAAAGAGAGAAGTTAGGGATTAGTGGCAGGAGAGGTCTGGGCAGATGCCCTGGGGAGGCTGAGCTGAACATCCAGGAGAGGATGGCATGAATCCATTTTGGTCTGTTCCTGCCAGCCCCAGATGGAAAGAGGGGCATATGGAGGGTCAGTGGGTGAAGTCTCTGGCCCCAAGTCAGTATGCCACATACTGCAGGGACAGAGGAAGTCCTAAGGAGGCTCCATGGAGGAAAGAGAGATGTGGGAAGGAGGGAGCAACAGGCAAGCCTAGAACAGAGGATGATGAGAAAGCAAAGGGGTCCTGTTGGACTGGACCTCCCATTCAACAGACCCTGGTTCTCTCCTCTTGCACCCTTCCCAGCCCTGTCCCTGGGTCCCACAAACCTCCACATCTCCCTCATGGATCTCCACCATCTCCTTCATAAATCTCCTATGCACCTCCTGCAGTGTCCCATGGTCCTCCATACCCTACCAGGAATCCCCAGGCAGGTTCAGTCCTGGGCCTCCATGCCATCCCTCTGAACCATTTCTCTCAGTGAGTCCTCCCAAGCCTCCCCTACAGCCCTCCAACACACCCTTCCTCATCCTGCCACTCCAGGAGCCTCTGCATACTCTCTGTAGGTCTCCCATGTCCTCCAGTGTGGGCAACCCCACCCCAGCTCAGCTCACAGTCTTCTGCACACTCCTCTGTACAGCCCTCTTGGCATTCTGCCCCATTCAACATATCTTTCTACCCTGGGCCCTGCACTAGACTTGGGGCTTGCCACATGGGGCACTTAGTACAGCTTAAATTTGTGCAGTATTAAAGTTACGCCTTGTTATGGGCAGCTGCACAGTAATGTGTATTATGATCTAACATGCACAGCTCACTGATTGTCAGTCCCAGCCCCAGCAGCACAGCCTCCTCGGTGAGGACAAAAAGCAGGATCAGGCCCCTGCTGGGCTGTGGTGCCATGATCCCATTGGGGCATGCTGGTTGTAAAGCAGTGGGGGGCTGTGAGAATCAGCCCTTCTGCTTGCTACTGTCACTTACAACTTGAATGGACGCCTGGGGGACCAGTCCGGTCCGACGACATCTGAATGCGTGTCACTTAACATGATCTGGAGATACTCTTCTCACAGTCTTAACTTTGCCATAAAGCGATCATGCTTAGCACATGTTTTACTACTTGAATATGGGGAAACTCATGTTAAGTGCAGTTAACACATCCTTAGTGTAATGGATGACATGGCCCTTGGAGTGCGGCTTCAGACTGGGGGTGGGTGGGAGAGAACCAGGACACTGTCCATTCAGTTCCCTGCAGCTTGGTAAATCCCAGGACCCCTCAGAAAGGCAGTTTCTCCCTTTGGGGCAGTGAATTAGAATGGATGTGGCAATAGAGCAGATGCAACCAAAACCTGTGCTGACCTCTTATAGCCACCAGCTGCCTCAAAGAGACCCTTCCTCCCCACCCTGCTCCTTTGGGACCCTTGCAAGCCTCAGTGAGTGGGGTTAGTGGGACGGACGGAGACAGACAAACGGCACAGACACAGCTTAGCCTGGAAGGCCTCACGCAGTGCATTCAAGGAGACACAGTGGGGTCCTGGCGAGGGGGGGGTTACCAGAGTAACCAGGCCTGCAGCGATGCTCTCTGAGAGGAACCCTGAGACAGAATGGAAAAGGAGAGTTGCATCGGTATCGGCATCAGAGGGGACAGAAAATGGTTGGGCAAAGGCCCCTGGCATCCCAGGGCCCAGCAATGCCCTGAATCATTACTCTTGCAGGCATCACATACATGGCCCCCCCTTACTGCACCTCACCGTTTTGAAGGCTTTTAACTTCCCCACCCCTTTGCGAGCCCTGTGTTTACAGATGGGAACTGAGGCACAGAGGGGTCAGGCAGAGCAGGCATTGACCCAACGTCTCCTCTCCTTGCTTGCACGAATACTGGACCAGCCTCCGTCTCTGTACTTCGGCCCAAAGCTGGACGTCTCCCTCCATTCGCTGCCACATGGCATTGCCAGCCCAACCATTCAGGAATCATGACTCAGGTCTTATAAAAATCACAAGAGTGGTTTAAAAACACATAGTTTTTACAGCTAATAAATGCTGAGATTCGTTGCTTTGACTTTTTAGTGTTCATCTGTCAGGGGTCCCATTTTCAAGCTTTTTCCCATTATTTTTTTTTATTAAGCAATGAAAGCTGAAATTCTCATGTAATCACAGGACTCCAGGAGCAGGGGCTTAAGGAAAGGAAGTGTTACAAGACTGGTGTTGCCATTTTGAAGACTGGCAGTATGACATTGGAGCTGGCATCGCTACTGCTGTGGGTCCAACACATTCCTGTCTGGGCTGGCTCTGTTGATCCCCTCATTGTCTTTCCCTTAAAACAGGGAGACCTCCAAACATCCCTCAGGTTCTAGAAATAGTGTTCTGGCTGAGGCTGAAGCCTGAGTCAAAGTGGCCTAGTGTTTACATCAGTGACTATGATGAGAGAACGAGCTGGTGCCCATTGCTGTCAGTCCGGGAAAGGGAAGCCAGGGTCAATGCCCTGCCCGCATGCCCCCCAGTGGCTGATGCTGATACAGCATCCAGAGCTCAAGGACAAAAGGGATCTCGGACGTTGAAGCATCCAAGGTCCCGGAGGAACAAGACACGTCTTTTATCCTGAGCTGCATCAACCCATAGATTCTCACAGCCAGGCTTCACTGGTTCTGTAGCAACCCAGAATAAGGAATCAGCCCCCTTCGGTAGCTTTCCACCATGGGAAAAAATAAACATAGATCTGCCTGGCAGCCTCGAGAGCCAATGGCTTAAGTACACCTGTGAAGGAAAAGGTCACATGAACCCTGTAAGGTGCAGTATCAATAGGGCACATCATTTACTTCATACTTGTAACATGCATTATGCATGCAGGCATCACAGTACTGGTAAGGCAAGTTATAACTCCATGACCATAGTTTTCAATGGTGTCCACATGCCACAGGGTTACCACATTGCTTCCATCTTAGTGTAACTGTATTTCACTTGTCTTGTCACCCTAAACCTGCAAATACTTTCTGATCAGCCTAAAGGGGCTTCATGGGCATTGACTGTGTGCACCAGGTTTGCATTTGGAGAGCAGAGGGAGAAACACAGCTGGCTTTTTCTCCCCTTTGACACAGAATTACACCTCAAATAATTGCATATTTCCTTTTACAGATTGGAAGAACTGAACTAGTAATACTGTTAGCAGTCTGCCTATCTGTCTGGCTATCTATCTGTCTGTCTATCAACATCTGGCTTTGCAGAGAAGCAAAGAGGGCTTTGGAGAAGAACTCTGAGGGGCCTGCAAGTTGTCAGTAAGTGACTAAAACTTGTGAGCCTAGGGCTGAAGCCCTGCACTCTGATATCTACCTTGTAATTCTTCTGGGCTCCATGAAGCTGGGGGAGTCACGTCTCCTCTTCCTGATGGGGGAATAACTTCTGGAGCGGCGCCGGGGTCGGGTGGGATCAGTATCACTGTGGCGTATTCGGGGCTCACTGTCTTTCTCTCTGAATCAAAATCACATATATGTTAGTTGTACCTACGTGTGTGTTGGCACACATGCATGTCTGCTAGATGTCTGGACATGTATCCTGTGCACAAATTTGAGGCCATGGGCATGATTCTGGCTGTAAGTCCACACGTACACGTGTGCATGTGGTGACAGGTAGGTAAGTCACTTGTGAGAGCTGAACTTGGAATGTCCCAGCTAAAAGCACACATAGATACCATTGAGGTAGGGGAACAGCTCCAGTAGCCCAGAGGCAGCAGTAGGCTTGTAAAACCCTCTGAGAGGACCCATACATGGTACTGGCATCCATGTGAGACAAAATAGAGATGGAAAAGACCTACTAGTTCCCACCATGGCTCGTACACATGTGTACATCAGTACCTGTAGATCGGACATCAGTTGCCATCAACTATGATGAGGGTAGCCTGCTCTGTGTGGGGCCATCCCTGATGACTGCTCAGAAACCCCCAGACAGTGCAGAACATGGGGCTCCCACTGTGGTCAGCCCCATCTGCTCCAGAGGCTGCCTTGGGACTGCTTGAGTCACCTGCCTTTCTCCAGTCCCTGAGGCCAGTCAGGACAGTGAAGCTGACAACCCCTAGATTAGCATGTGTAGAGAATGGAAGGGATATTTGTAAGGAAGAGCCCCTGATGTTGGCCCTGGTTCCCCCCACCTTGGTCAGACTGATTTGATCTGGTCATGTTACAAGATGCATTTATTTACTCAGGCTTCTTCTGACGGAAAAGCTTGGTGCATAGGGGCTATATCTGAGCTAATCCAAATGCTGGTGCCCATGGCAAGGACACCATGTATGCTGAATACACATCTATGGTTTATTGAAGCCCTTGTGTGTGTTGACATAGTAGTGTCCCATGTACCCATGTGGCGTGCTGACATTGTGTATAACAGTGGCCACATGTCTCGGTACAAATGTCCCCCCACCCATACAATCCTGTCTCAGGGGACACATGTTGCAGGTACGCTACCTGCTTGCAGTTTTTTTCTGTGAAGGAGACCGAGTCCTGCTCCGTGCTGCTCTCTTCTCCCGGGATCTGGACCGGGATTTGGATAAGGACCCGCTGGAGCTCCAGGAACTGCTCCGGTGGCCCGTGCTCCGGGACACGCTCTTCTTTCTCTCTGAGTTGTGCCTGGAATGCTTGATAGGTGACTCTGAGCTGCTGTTTGGCCTGCCACGATGGTGTCTCTCCTTCACCCTGGAAGACCAATCAATCAAACCGCCAATCACAATGTTATCACAGCACACCACAGCATGGCATAAAGATTAACTCTCTGAAAACCAGAATTCTCCTCCAGCAATTGCTAACACTGTATTTCCAAGGCAGTGGGCAACCATCATCCCACCTCCAACCACATTCCTTGAGTGTGGGCATCCAGGAACATCAAGAACCCGGGCCATAAATGTTCAGCACCCTTACACTGTACTTAATGAAAGGATTAAAGATCCTTTTACTCTGTACGAGAATGGCTAAGTCTGCTTCCAAGGCATACACCATGTATATCTAACCTGCAAATCTCACTGCCACAAGATAAATCTGAGGCCAAGTTTAAGTAGAATTTAAAGGAGTCTTAGACATTTAGGTGACTAATAGAGCCTTTGACAGTTACATTAGATAGAATAAGGACCTGTGGATGGGAACTGCTCCAGGGAATAAGCCTACTATTCAGTTCTTGGGGTCAGAAACAGATTATTTCCTCTCTAGCCACTAGAGGAGCTCTGCCCTTTGCTCTGCAGCCTCTGGTGCTGCCAAGGTGGGGACCCTGGAGTGCCTGGCACCAGCTCTTACTTTTTTGCATGAGCCCCATGGTTCTTCTCCACCCCTGGCATCATGTGGTAGGGATGGGAGCAGGCTGATCCCTCCGAATCACTACTGTAGCCTGTGTTACTGAGTGATCGGGGTGACTCCTTCTGGGCTGAGGGCTTGGCCTTGCTCCGGCCCTTGTGTTTGTGCATTGAGGTGGAGCGGGAGCGCCGGCGGTGAGAATGCTTGTCCACTCCAGAGCATCGGCCTCCTTTCTCTGGTGACATTGACCTGGGGCTCCTGGCGCCATGTCTGCTACTCTTGGAGCGAGGCGACAGCAACTCAGTCTTGACATGAGCCCTTGAAGAAGGGGATGCGGAGTCCAGCCTCTGACAGGAAGAAAGAAAAAGGGGGATGGGGAAGGAAAGAAGAGAAGAAAGAAGGGGGGAGAAGTCTTTAAAGGGAAACCCCAAGCCAGAGATGCAATTCACAACGTCAACGCACATTGCATAAGGCAGGCTACACAGACTCTACTCTGAATCTTCCTCTCCTGCTCAGCCTTTTGACCTCAATGCAGCTCATGCAAATCTCCGCATGCAAAACGCAAAGGAAATCCAGAAACAAAGTCATAAGGAGGGAAGGGAGAGTTCGAACGAAAACGCATCTGGAACAGAGGGAATGAACTAAATAAATAAAGGAAATCAAATTGGTGTAAAAATCCAAACAAACTAAGAAAACCAAGGAGGGTGGCAAGAAGGGGAAAATAAATTGGACATAACAGGAAAGAGTTAACTGAAATGAACCAGGAAGTCAGAGGAGACGGGTCTGAGTGGGGTAGGAATGGAGTGGAGGTTCTTCCATGTATATGCATATATATGTATAGAGGCATGTTAGTATATACATATATACATCTGGATTTGGGTTGGAAACAAAACAGGGAGTGAGGAAGACAGCACAGAGATATGGTGAGGGGCAGGGTAGAGGTGGGGAAGTCACAGAAGGGACAGGGGAAACAAAGTATAAAAACAAAAAGGAGGAAGAAAAAACATTTAAAAAAAAAGAAAACTCCACAAATGTCATCGTTACTGAAATAAACGAATGTTTCTGAACTCTTCCTGGGATACTGTTTTTTTTATCTGTGACCCTGCAGGGCACTGCTGAGCTCACATCAGCGCTCTACAATGACTCTTGCTTTCTGTTTCTTTTTTTTTTTCCGTTAAATTCTGTTTTTTTTAAGTCCCTCTTGGTTAACATCCACTTACCAAAAAAGTGGCATTTCCTCCTTTAGTAGGTAAGGTATGAAGAGAAGGGAAAAGCGGGGCAATATAAGTGCATCATTAGATTCACAAAAATGCAAGAGAGAAAGAGAGAGAGAAAGAGAGATAGAGAGAGAGAGAGAGAGAGAGAAAGAGAGAAAGAGAGAGAAAAGAGAAATAAAACGAAACAACTCACTTCTCCTAGGCCTCGGAAACATCAATCATATGAGAAACCAACTCTAGGTGGAATTGCATATGCATCAGCTCTGCATTATTGGGAAAACACTTTCAGGGGGTGAGCATTTTTTTTGGATGACTTTTCTTTAAAAAAAAAAAATTAAACCCAATGTCATTAGCACCTGCACAAATCCCCTGATGCCCAACTATCTGGGTATTAATAGCGGCCTGGCAGGTAGAGCAAAAGCCCATGAGGAATTGCCAGGAACAATTTTTATAGGCTGTTTTCATGTAAAGCAATGAAATATCCTGGTGTGGTTTGGTGCAGGACTGGGGGACAGTGCTACCAGCAAGGCATTTTTTTTCTTCCAATGGAGTATATACAAAGGCCCAGATAGCACCAGAGAGGCCTATGAGAAAGCAACACAATTGTACATTGACTCTACTATGACATGGTGTGAATCTGCAGGTCGGCCTGGATCCCATGTTGCATGGAGCTGATGTTGCCTGATATGAAATATACACATATTTGCACACAAAGCACTAACTTTGGAGGCCTCTTGGTACAACAGAAGGGCTAACAGGAATGGAGGCTGTGGGGAACCATTTTTTCACTGAGCCTAGACCAATCTAAGTGAGAGAAAGGGCCATGGATGTTGTTTGGAAAGGCTGGAGGGGCCTTTTTGTTTCATTTCAACTGTTCTCGACAGCAGGGTAAAGACCAACCCTGAAAACAACAACCTGCTTCTCAGTGATAACTGATAGCTCAGCCAGGCTGAGGGCAGCATGGTCAGCCCACTGTATCCCTTTAAATAAAAACCAAGCAATACATGGTACCTGTGTTTCTCATGTGAAGCTATGCTGTTCTTGGAATCCTTCCCCAACCAGATCCCTTGCCTATGGGGACCTTGTAACACTGGGTGAACATGACTGACGTCATATCCCCAAAACCCCTTTGGTGGGGAAACCAAGGCACAGAGCAGTCAAGTGTCTCAGTCACAATGAGCTGCTAGATGAATGGGGATGTGAAAACAAGAATGCCCTGCTCCTGCCTTAATTGTCATGCTTTTTCCCTCATGCTCATGCTACCTACTGGGAGAAGGCTGACTCCTGGGTTTCCAGTTTACTCTCCAGCTATCTGTATAATGCAAACTTAGCAATGGGTCTTTTCTTATCATGAGCTGTGAAGAACAGGAAACTGCTATGGAGATCAGGTAGGTGGATCTTGGTTAAATCCCCCAAACATCTGCTTTACATGGATGTGTCTTGAAATCATGCTGGTATTGCTTCAAGGTATTCTGGGAGCCAGAGCATAGCATAGGCCCAATCCAGTGTCCACTGATGTCAAAAAAAGATTTCTATTGACATCAATGAACTTTTAACTTCAGGCCCTATGAGAATGAAAGTCTCCAGAAACCCTGCAAGCTATTATAAGCTAGGTGCTATGGGGGTACATGGATATGACTTGGGTGTACTAAGCTGGGTACTATAAAGGGTTCTAAGTCCATGCTTCCCTCAGCCCCACTCTTCCCTCCCTGTTTTAACAGTGCCACCTGCAAACACCCATTGATGCAATTGGTTTCTTTACGCCTCTGGCTTTCATTCTTACCAATGTGGCTTTGCATACTTCCATGCAGTTCAGAGCAGTGCTTACCCTGAGCTTTGCTGCGCAGGAGAAGCGCTGACAAGAATAAAAGTATAAGTCCATCACACCTATGTGTCTTCATCTTATCTGCAGAGCTCCCTGCCAGTCTAGTCTACCCTGCAATATACTTCTTGCTGTTCCAGCCCTAGGATCCCAATCTGTCTGTGCTAATCCTCAATAGACAGTTAGCTTTGTTAATCTGAAGTCAGGTAGGTGGGGGAGGGTGGTACCTTAGAGACTAACTGGTTCAGAGAGGGAGTGGTTTTCATAGGCAACAACCTTCTTCATCAGATGCCAGCAATGGACCATTCTTAGCCTGATGAAGTAGGTTGTTGCCTATGAAAGGTCATGCCACTCTGAATCAGTTAGTCTCCATGGTGCTGCCCTGACCTGCCTTCTGCCTGTCCTGGATGGAGGAATACCAACAGCTGACCTTTCAGTTCGGTCATTTACAAAACAATAAATCTAAAAAACTAATTTGGGTTTCACCTGAACCAATACTTAAAAAAAAATTTTCAGTGAACCAAAACGTTAAGAAACTGTTATGGATCAAACAGGGCATTTATTTTTTGCTCCAGTGTTTTTTAAAGGTTTGTAGAGGGTTTTTTTTTAAGTAGAAGTGAAGGAAAATCCATAATCAAAAGCCATTTTGGATTGAAAAACTGAAATGCTTTGACTTTTCCATTTTGTTGTTGATGTTTTTCTCATTTAGCAAAACCAAGATGGATTGCTAAAGATTTTCATGTCACCAAACTTCTACCAAAATTAACCACCCCTGAAAGCCAAACAAAAAAAGGCCAAAAATATCACTCAGCTCTGTGCTTGATCAATATTTTATCTTCCTGCTATTCCAGCCCTAGAATCCCACACAGTTTTGACGATACGCCTCAGTCTTGATAACAGCATGTCATATTAGAGAAATCCTGACTTTTATTTCCAAGCATAGATCACCATTTGGCTTGATCAGGGTAATCTTGGTCTGAAGGATAGAGATTGCACTTGGAGAGATGAGTCCATTGCCACTTGTGGCAGTCGCTGTAGCTAGAACCCTAGATGGAAAAAGCTGGTACCATCAACTGAAGCAGTGTTGAAGGTTTTCTCCAGCTTTTCCAATGGTGAATATGGCTGTCAGAAAAGGGGCCTGATTGCCAGCTCTATAGGCTGATTCCTCCATTTACCCACAGGGTAGATGCAGGCAAGGAATTGGCAGCCCAAGGCTTTCCTACA